TCAGGAGAAATGTGCATCAGTTCATTTTGACGTACCTCTTATTAGCACAGCACAAGGAAATGAACATGGAAAAAAGTAAATTGGATAAAAAATAATATCAAAATCAATGAGGATCTAAAAATGAGAAAGTTTTAGAGGAACAAATGTGACCGAAAAATCCAAAGTTGGGGATGATGTTATTTAGGGTGCTAGATCCTCATAATAATCAGTAAACCTTACATTTTTGTAATTTATTTTATGAATTTAACATTTTGAGCCGAAATTTCCCATATCACTAGTTTTTTTGCACTTCAAATCCTACTAGCTCACCTTTCAATTTAATACACTCTTTTGTACTCTCCAAGAGCTTTGTAGCTTTAATTATACGTGAGAATCATAAGTTAGGAAATCATTCTTTTCTCTGGCGGAATAAATCTGAATAATTCTTGGATTTGATCTCTAGTTAATGGGCAAGGAAAAAGGCAGTAAGAAGGTCAATGAATTTGGAGTTAAGAATAATCAGCGTAGTGTTCAGAAGTACGAGACATTCGACAAAAGATTTAAACAAGGATAAAGAATCAATGCAAGTGAATTATGTTACCCGGTGAATCTAGCGATTAATTACGAGTATTGTGTTATTCCCAATAAAGAGGTTTGAACCTGTATCGAAGTCGCTCATACCAACAAACGATAATTGGATGGATTGGTAGTATATCCTTATTTCCTCAGTCCTTACTTTTCCCCAAACCTACTCCAATGTCTAATAACATAAAACTTTAGGGTAGACAGTCGTTAGGCGACTGCATTTACAGTTATTAGTTTCATTATCAATTACAAGATTTGATTTTTGAGAAGTTAACATTAAATATTTTCTTTGGCTTATAGGATAAGCTAGTATCTCATTGTAGATGGCATTCTTCACTGGTTGTTGTCCGGCGAGACATCATTAGAAGCCATGGAGTACTGAACATCTGTCTCGTCTTATTATGGGATTCCTTAGTGTTGTGAAGGTACAACCTCATAGGAAATAAAACCAAAAACCTTCAGATATGAGGAAGAGTACTTAGCTAGTAGAATCTTAAGGTTAGCTTCCATTATTGGCCATTCTAACCTCAATCAATTTATGATATAACAAGACGATAATCTACTGTTCCCAGTGAAAAAGTTTCACTGGCAACATATTCAAACTCCATTTTTCATAAATCCACAGTAAAACGTCAGGAACCCACCTCGAAGTAATTCACTAGTGTAGGAACTTGAATTGTTGACATTCCGCAGTCAAGTGTTAGTTGATTCTTTAGAGAATATACGATGTTGACACATCCATAGGGGTTAACCAGCAATAAAGATAAAGAAGTAGGTAAACTAACTGGGCTTTTTTTATCGAATCCTCTCCTACTCATTCAAAATGAAAGCCTAACTATCGAAATAATACTGATCATTTATTTCAAAAAAGAGCTAGCGAACCATGTTACAAGTACATTTATTCACTGAATAATCTATTTACACCATAAATCAAATCACCATTCACAATTACCTATCCGTAGTTCCGTGTTATTAACAGAAATTAACAGACGAATTTATACACCTAAACGAAAGAGCACTCAATCATTGTTTTTCTTATATGTAATGTTACAGCGGTAACTTTATGTCTTCATAATAAATCTTGGCACGTGATAACGTTAGGTTCACTCGACCTTTCCCGCCGTTTCGTTTCAAAGACTTGGAGCGCCTTGGTATGTGGTAGCGATCCCGTATTTTAGCGGCTATGGCTTGATCGGGTATCCGTTGAGCTGCATGAATTTTAAGTGTTCTCATGCTTAAGCAGTCTGTTGTTGCAATAAAATTACACAATCACTGCAAATAACACTAACTAACCTTCTATTTTGCAGTCTACACATTGGCTTGGTTATTGCTTCGTAACTTGATCTCAGAAACCAACTGCTCTAGTGAACTTCACCGCTATTGTTTAAAACTTGATAAGGTTCAGAAAACGACGTATTATAAATAAGAATAACTCGATAATTCTAGATACGCGGACTTTGTGTATATTATCATTTTACGCGAAATTTAAGGCGAGATGTCAAATAACCGATAAATTCTAAGCCACCACCTTAAATGTTAGTAATACTTCCTGCAGTTAGTAAAGTATTATTCCAGTGATTAACTGTTTGTTTTGTTTTATAATTACTCAGTACTGATTTTAGTGCTTCATATTCAAACGATATCTCAATCGATATAAGCAAGGCGTTTCAACGTGTAATACTGAACAGGCGTTTCAGAAGCTGGACTAAAATTGATAGTGCTCTAAGTGAATTCCAACAAGTAGGGAAAGAGTAATGTTTATGGGTGACTGTGGCAGGCCTTACGAGGTAGATATAAGCACTTATGAGTGCAACTGATGAATGTTTGTGACATGCCGGTGTCCTTCCCGTCATATACTTCTGACATACATGAGAAGACAAACTTTTACAAGTAAGCGAAATCAATTACTAAGTATAAAACGCATAGTCAGTCACATTCTTAGACACTTCAGTCGATGGAAGACAGATAACACACATACCTTCAATAATAGCACAACAGTTTCGTCACCCAGGTAAAGCAAACAGTATGTACAGATTTAACGAAGCCAGAAAATGAGCAAACAACAGATTGTGGATAAATATAGTGACAGAAACTCTGTTTACTATAAAAAGCCCTTTGTTGTTGCATTTTTGACTTAACTATATATATAACTTGTAAACTTATTTTTCTGCATCGAATCTTGTTCTTCCTTTATCAGTAGTAATGATGTATCCATAAGATTGAGCACAATTTTTATTTTTGTCTTCATCGTAGTTTCATGGGGAGGTATACTAATAATCTTAACGGGTAACTGTTTGTGACAGTTAGCAATATCTATGTGTTCTCTGTATAAGTAACCGTTTGGTTATGAGAACTTGTAAGTACTGCATCACTTCAGAAGTTTCGTGAAAACATTGCATCGTATACATAAGTTAATTCACTATGACATCATATCTGGGTGAAAAATAGCAAGATTTGTGGTGCGAAAGAATAGGACCTGTCATCTGAGACGCTACACATTCTTTGCTTGTAGTATGCTTCTGCAGAAAAAAATTAAATATAGCATATAGTTGAGATGAATGGTGGCTAGAAGTAGAGCCCAGTACGCTTCGTCCGATTTGGTACTCGTCAGCTGGATATACCTGCATCCCAGAGTTGATGTTCGCCTCGGGAATCGAACCTATTATCTTTCGCTTCAAACGCCATAGCATTATTCACTTAGCTACTGAGTTCGGATCGATTCAAGCTTGTTCATTTTTGTATTGATTGTTAATTGGTCGGTCCATCTCTGCTTATAATGTTTGTGACTTAAGGCAATATCGAGGTGATCCGCACAGAATGTATATATACCAGTAAGATTGGTCAACTGCAGTCCTAAACATCAATGGAAACATTTAAAAAAACCAACACAAAAGCAAATTGCTTATATTTATTACATTTTTATCCAAATAATTCATTAGTTGAATAAACGTGGAAGTGGTCAATGTTAAACACAGTTATCGTCAACTTGTAAATTGTTCATTTACATAATTTTCCATATCCAGCAATTGGTTAAGTTGTTCAGTGGTATGGACTTGGATATTGGAAAAGTTTTAGCTTTTCAATTAGTTGACAGAAGCCATAAGTTGTATATCAGAAAACATATGGATAGATTACCAGTTTAACCAATGTAATTCTGAAAACAACAAATCAGTAATGAACCAAGCGGTTAAACTTCGTAATGTATTTTAAAATCAGTACGTGGAATAGAAATCATGGGAAAGTACAAGTTAAATTTCGCTCATCCATATGCGTTAGATCTCTGTCTATAATTTGTTCAGTGGTTACAAATTCTGTTTACAGAAATTCATTCATAATCTCTATAACAGACACATCATAAATTCGTATTGACTAACAACATAGTTCAGTTACCATGTTCAAAACAAACATGCATCATTTTACTTATGAACAATATGTGACTTACGGTGACGTTATATTCAGTTGCTGTGTGTTCAGAAAGTGGGTATATTGGGCTATTAGCATAAATTAGTACTCATATAGCTTTTCTTTCTCAAATAAGTTATATATTAATGTCAGTTCCGTAAAAAATGACGACACTTAGGATTGTTTATCGTTGTATATTAGAAACTTATATGATGTTAAAAAAATAGTTTAATGCATAATTGCTTCAACCTGGATTTACTAAACAACTACTAGATATCCTCGTTCATTAACATCCTTTAGGGTGATCAATAAAATTTTAAAGTTTTTGGAGCCCATTTTTGTTTAAAAAAACCCTGACGATAGTCTATCTCTGACTTGACTGATAGTGCATTTCACTTACTTGAATTTAGATTGAGATAAGTAACCACATTACAGTTAATTTAACACTCACCCATATAGTGAACAACAACTACGTCAAACTACTATTTACTGTGATAAAAACTATATAACAAGAGCAAACATTACGAATATTGATATGCGACAGCAAAAACGCTGTACACAGCTAATAAATAACGACATTTAAAATACTCGATAGCACGTAGCATGTGAGCAAGAACGCATAACTTAACTTTTATTCTCAATGCCTAAATTTTGGTTGAGAAATCAGGCATATCCCTTAAATGAAACTTGAAATTTAATTAGCTAGTTGTAATCTATTATCGTTTAAACTCATCATGAACTTGAGAAAGACCATCTTTGATGTTTTGTGAGTTAAAGTGGATTGGTGGGTCGCCAATGCGCATAAGTTTTTGATTTGGATTGGTTGGGTGATGAATATGTCTGTTTATTACAAATGTCTGTACACTCATATTTCTTCTCATTATTCTTATATGGTAATTGTTGAACTCTCTTGTGATTAGTTTATTGAGTGGGCGTTTACTTAAATTTTTATTGGCTTCTTACAAGGTTGCATGTACGTGTATGTGTTTATGTGTATGCATCTATATACAATGAAATATCATTTATCACTATTACTGCCATCAAAAATAAACGATGAATATGAATCATTGCACTATCCTCATATAACGCCGCAACAATACAACGCATAATATACGGGTTTGTATTCGTTCAAAATATTAGTTTTTTTATTTCGTATTACAAAGAGTAAAGTGCATATAAATTATTTTGTGTAATACTGTTACACAATTCGTTCAAAGTCCAACATCACCCCGGAACAGAAACGGATACAAATACTAGAGTTACAGTTCGTATATATACGCGCATACACAAAAAAATAGTCACCCACCTACCCACTTACGAACGCATACATACATCGCACACATAAGCACGAACACTGGCACATAGTAATTAAAAAAAATACGTAAACCATCAAGGAGAACGACATTTTTAGAGCAAGAGAGAGAAATAAATACTTTAATTATTGTTGTTTTAAAATCTGGTTAGTACTTACTGTTATTTTAATTGTTATTAATGGAGATATATATGTATATAAATGTCATTAAAAACACGGAGTAGTTAACCACTAATAAATCAACTCTGAATACTTATAAATATATATAAAAAAATCTTTTTGAAATTAAAATTACATTGGGTCAAATTTGACTGGAACTTCTGTTATCATTGTATGCTACTTGTATCGGATTTGGAAATACCATCATTTTCTTTCCCATTAATCCATATAATTTACCAACTGCTTAAATACTATCATCAACAACCAACTTGATAGCAAAGAATCTGTCAGGTAATAGCATACACGACCACGAGGAAACATTTGGATCATTTATACTTACTACTATTACTACTACCAATATTCACAAATTATTTCACATGTTATTTAGTTCAGAGTTATTTTCTCGAAAGCCTTCGTCAGTGACTCATTTGATTCTATTATTCTTTACTATATATTCTATTCCGATTAAATTAATTCATGGGAGTTGTGAACCAGCTCAATTTGTAATTATATGTACCAATGAATTCCCATCAAGTTCATTTCTAAATAATTTAACTGGTAAATATGAATTGATTATACAAAGTGTAAAAACTAAACTAGAAGTTAAATCATTTGAAAAATATCAAGGTGCACAAATTAAACGTTTACAAATCGAAAAATCCACGATTTATTCAATTGAACCGAAATTTTTTAATATATTTAGTCGTAATAGTCTAGAACGTTTATCATTGAGTAATGTCGATGGTCCGTATCGTTTGGATGCTCAATCTTTAGCTGGTCTAAGTGAAAAATTAAATACATTACGTATTAATGATCATGCATTAGATAACATTGATGATTTTGTTATATTAAATAAATTAACACGATTATATCTTGTTCGAACACATTTAACACAATTACCAAATAATTTTAAACAATTGTTAACACATTTAGAAGACATTAACTTATCTGAAAACTTATTAACTTATATACCATGGAAAGAACTAGCTGAACGTATACAAAATGATCAATTTTTAAAAATTCAACTAGGTAAAAATTTATGGAATTGCGATTGTAGTGTAAAACCATTAATCGAATTGAAACCCGAAGCGAAGTAAGTTTATTGATTTTTTAGATTCTTTTTTCTTGAAATTCGTATTTGTGTTCTCATCAAATTCATTATAGATATTTCCATGTAACCAATTTCCAGTTTTCGAGTACAAGGATAATTGACTTGTCACTTGATAATTAATCATCAATGAAGCTGCTGAAATTGATTCTGTTAACGAGGCGTAGTGATCAAATATTATTATTCTGTGGAAGAGATGAAATCCCCAAATAAGTTTACAGAATTAGTCTTGATTTTCCGACACTTCCTCAACGGTGGTCTTAAAGACGATTGGCTCTATAGAAAATTAAATATAAGATATATAAACGTGAGTCAAGGTAATTAGGTGAAATGAAGGAATTTAAATATTAAGTTCACCGCTCAATCTAATATAAGAAAAAAATTTAACAGTCCATTCAATCCTCATAGAAAAGGTTGAAACGCTTGTTCATAATCTTGATATTTAATTTTTGAACGTGTTCGGTTGGCAGACGTTTATATTAGTCGCTCTGAAATATATATGGTTTCCTCCAAGGGGTGTGTTGTATTTCTAAACTTGTCCCAAACATACCATTTAACGGGCTGTACAAGGCAATTATAAAACTTTTTGATGGCAGATGTACAATACTGTGCTTTGTTTGGTGTCACGATTTAAAGTTATCCTTCATTGTATTTATTCTGGGACGCTCATTTCATCAATGGAAAGATTATAACGAATGGCGTGACTGATGGGTATTACTATATATATATTGAAATAAGGGTACAATCAATGTTAGTGTAAATTAACTATCTAGGAACTTTTTATTGAGAGTAAAGTTTCTAATACGGTTACCATAGTAAAGTATATCTGTTTATTGTTTTATAGATTAACTTATTGATCACATATTTATTTTAGGCGCTTCCTTTCTTTTCACCATAGTCTTATTATTAGAAAATTAGATCAATATTCAATGTCCCACCATTTATGTCAAGAAATAATCAATCTATACTGGTAAAATAAGTCTTTTTCACTTTAGATATACTGAGAACTGAATGTAGTTGAATGCAAAATTGATTTCTATTCCATATTTTTCATCATCAATAAAACATAAAGGGGTATTGTCAAACAGAAGGTTTACTTCATCACTCAGAAATAACTGTAAAAGTTATTCTTTTAAATTAGTAACTCATTGTTGATATTAAATTAGAGTCATTTTGTTATATTGGCAAGTAAAAAATTGATCAAACAAGTCGATGATGTATATTATTTCATTGCAACTGTATTGTTATCATTTACATTAAGTGACAGGAATGTACTGATTCAAGTCTTGTACAGAGTTGTGAATGATGAGTATTAAAGGGTCTAAAAACCAGGAAGTTACAACTGTTCAATAGTTCTTGAATGATCCATGTTGCTAAGGTATTCAACCGTATCATGATGAGTTGATAACATGTGAAATTTCTAAAAGCCATTCGTCAGTGTGTTCTGTATATGACTAGGGATAAATTTAACCTCTCTGGCTTACTAATTTACAAATTTATACTACTAAGTTATAATCGAAAGATAAATATGAAGCATTATCATAATCATTTCTTTTAAGATATTGTTACGTATTAGCAAAAATGGTTTATTAAAATTGTTCAGCTTTTAGTTTCACATCACGTACCAGCTTTAGCTAAACAACCATTCTGAATGGAGAAATACTAAAGAGGAGCATCTTTTTAGTTTAAGATTTTTCAGCAGTACGCATTCGTGAATGGAAAAACGATCGAACACAGGATCTTTAAACCTTACAGCTGGTGTGTTTCTTTTAAGTTGCTGAGTTTCAGTTTAATGGTTTTTAAATATTCTACCGTCTGTTCAACTGTCTAGACGTTAGTAATGTGAAGGGAAATTCGTGGAAATTCTAAAGAGACTTCGTAATCATTGAAGTTTAACTATATCAGGCATGAGACACTTATCGCTCAGGTCAATTGACAATGGTTATCCAGTGTTGTAAATCAACTGAAATTGGCAATATGGATCACTGGGTACCAGTCTAATGGTAAAAAGGTATTTGTGATGTATTCTGTATTCAATCTCTGATGGGTTTGAAAAGTTCAACAATGAGTTGACTCATGATAAGACCAAACAGTGCTTGCTAATTTACTATAGTTATCCAGTTAAAATTAGTCTTTGATTAGATTGATTAGATCCATCAATTTAAATTAAAACATACTTAGCAAATAAGATCGTTATCATCAAAACTAATTGCTTTATTTACTAACACTCATGAGCTATTTTTAAATTATATATACATATAAAGGTTTTCAAGGTAGACAATGATTGATAGTTGACACAATACTCATATTCATCCACTAGATGCTGGTATTTTTTAGCTTAAACAAAGTCCGACTGTGACTACTGCAATTCAAACTTTTCAAACATAATTTAAAATTATTAAATCGATATTGAGGCTGACATATATAGACTCTAGCGTATAAGATCGATTATAAGACTGGTTTTAATAATGGATCTATTAAATTGAATTAGGACAGATTTCTATACAAAAACAACATTTACTTTGAAATAGTTTGTCAATCTCATCTACACAACTAATGAACCTTAATAGAAAAAATCTGTCAATCTGATCACACTAGCAAATCAGAGTGATTCCTTTAATCGACCTCAAATTATGTTATTATTGTAGTTGAAATGTAAACACCAAAGTTTATTGGTAAATTTTATATCAATAAGAATTGTTCATATTCACTTACTAAACTATATTATTAGACTTAAATGGTACGCATGACTAACGTTGATGGACAGGTTTCATGTTTTTGTAAAATTCACTGTTAGTTCAGTTTGGTTGAATAATGCTAACACACATCCCTTTGCAGTGGTCAATCATTAACCCTGTACATATTTACCATTGAATATTTCGAATGAGATCCAGCTTTTAATGAACTTTTTTATTGCTTTCTATGACAGTACAGTGTACCTAGTATTAAAAATTTCCATTGTGGAAATTGAAACAAAAAATACAGGCAAAATGTTGTTTTCAATTAGGTCTTCATCAGGCTTTTCTCTTATTTCTTAATAATTTTTAACGACTATTGTCTTAATATCTGCTTTTTTCCAAGTTTTAACCCACTTTCTACGTTGGGACACCTTTATTCTAGCCTTTATTATTTTTATACCTGTTAGTACATCTATCATTACACCACTAATCTGTACCCCTTACTTACAATGTTTAGTTATGTGATTTGTTCAGTGCATTCATTAATTTATAAACTGCCTTGATTATTTTAATATTTTCCATATATTCTTGTACGTTAGAGTAAAGCCTTATGAAGATCTAATCGAAACCAATATCGTTCGCTTATGAGTTGTCTTAATTTCCTAAATGTTTATACAACAGCTACTGTTAAAACGGCTAATGTTTACCTTGTAAACATCCTTAATTCCTTTTATCTCCTAATTCAGTGTAGCTTTTCGGCTATAGTGTTAATTCATCTATATATCTACTTCACTTGTGTCGTTACCGATTCATATCATTTTTTTGTTAGTACATAGGTTAATAGAGCTGGACTCAATTTGTATGCGTTCCAAGAGAGTGGCCGGAACTAGGATACAGAAGGAAAAACACAAAAGTTTGTATAAGCAAATAAATAGGAAACTTTTATATTATACTAAGTTGACTGACAGAGCAATGTCATCATCCAGAATTATTCACAATCATTGATGTGGCTAATATGTAGTGATCAATTTGTCTTTTTACAAGGGTAAAGCTAATTTGTTTAGAGTCAATGCTTCTAATTATATATATATATATATATATATATATATATATATATATATATATATAGTACTCATTGTGCTATTGCATTTTGAACTGGTACGCTCTGGGTAAAGAAACTTTTTACCGTCGCATGAATTGTTATAAAACTACCCCTTTTCTGACGTTCAGCATTACAAAAATTTGTTTGACTATTTCTTATGCTACTTTTTCTGAAATAACCTTAATAATTATATCACTTTTGTTTATTATGATGGTGGTTTATAAAGATTTTGTTCGACCAAAGAAATCTATTTATCGTAAACTGATATCATCTGAAACAAATTGTTATTTAATCTTAATTTTAGATAACCCAGCTGTGTTCACTCATAGCTCCTAACAGAGTTAAATTTTGGACTTTTAAGCCCTATGACCTAGATTTTCTACTGGTTGGCAGTGATCAGTAAAGTTTACCTGGAATACTGAAAGAACCGGTACCCATCTTTGGGTTTTAACTCGTATCGTTTAATTTCTCAGTCAGTGACGTTGCCAATTAACTATTCTCGCTGTAACTGAGCTTTAGTATATTATTACTGTATAGTATATCGGTACGGTGGAAACTTAGCGATAATATTATACATTATAGTTAGTCTTTTTATAATGGTACTTAGGAATATTATTAAATTTTGTTAATATCTTGGAATATTCTATCAGATTTTTCTATAAGACGTCGTTTGATTGAGAGAAAAAATTACCTGTCATACAGTCATAAATCAATACATGTCTCTACTCATTTTTATTATCAATATCAGCATGATTCAGTATTTTAATCGTAACAAACTACTTTAAATATATAAGTATATGTAAAAAAAATTTGGCAATCAACTATGTTTCATCGACAGAAACAACAGTTGAATGTATATGTGCAACCAAACAATGAAAAAAGTTGGTGCTCCACACATATTGTTATTTTATTATTCATAGGAGCATTCTATTTGAGTAATGGAAGTGGTAGTATTACTAGTATTAGTATTGGTATTGGTATTAGTATTAGTACCAGTATTATTATTATTATTATTATTATTATTATTATTATTATTATTATTAGTAGTAGTAGTAGTAGTAGTAGTAGTAGTAACAGAGTAAACCTACGAGTGAACGCATGTTAATATGTGTACATATGTGCTCATTTTTATGAATGTATCACATATACACTTGTTTGGGGATTGTCATGGGAAACATCTGAGTGATTACAGACAAATGTGCACT